AAGCGGGTCAAGGACGAAGGGCAACATCTAAGGGTTAAAACATATGGTACTCAGGGGAAGACACAAAACACATTATTACTACGTCTATCTATCCATCATTTAAAACACCATTTTTAAAAATCAGTTACAAGTATTTAAAAATGTAATTAGATTTGTTAAAACTCGGAATTACCCAAATTTGGTAATATTTATAAATAATAAGAATAGCCGCTTTTAAAAAGTAAATACACTTTATTTTACTATGCTGGATTTTTATTTTAATGTTTAGACTAATTGCGACCAAAAATAAATTGATACCGATAAAAAAAAATAGCACAAATGAATTAACTAATAATTTACTGTAATATTTTCAAATCTAACACTAAAATGTATTTTATTATCAAGTTTAATTTCCTTTTAACCTTATATTTATCCTAAACAAACAAGTACAATTTTAGAAATATTATCTATTACGAAATTCTGGTTGGGATCTGTTTTATTTCGATTGGGATAAGCCAAATTAATAAAAAATATTTTTTTTTATAATTTCACAATTATACTGGCATATCTTTTTAAAATACATATGATTGACTGACATATTCTTTGTAGTTAGGACTAGTTTTATGAAATTTTAACCATAGGTTTAGAAAATATTAGCAAATTATATATGTGCTTTATTTTCATTTTTTTTTTTCAAAAATAAAAATGTCTATCCAACCTGTATTAACATATTATCAAACATTCATATTATGCATTTATTAAGACAAATATGTTTACCCTATAGAATCTTATATGCAAATTATACTTTTTCCTATGAAAAATAGGAAAAATTCGTATGAGATAACGAAGAGCTGATATTGGCCTTTTATTGCTGAACACACTACCTAACAGGAATGTATGGAGTTTCATATACGACAGTCAACTGTTTACTGGCAACGGTTTCTGGTTATAGGTTATATTATGGGTTACTTTATCTTTTTATCTTTAAAATACCTGCGTGAATGAAGGATATGGAGATAACGAACAGTATTCAATATCAAAGTCCATAAAAACAATAGATACACTGTAATGGGAGCAAAGCAAACACGGACCTACAAAACATCAGAGGTGGGATGATTGGCATGGAGGGGTTCAGCACCCCAGCCCACCGGTCACAACCTCCGTGTGCTTCTTGTCGTGATTGAGAAATAACGGGGAAATTCTTGCCAATTCAGTGTATAAATAATGAACTAACACTTAGTATGAAAAACGTCAGTCAGCATTTGACTCAATGATAAATTGTATTTGCCGACAAAGTCATCGACCATAGAATTTACAAAATGGTGACTGTAAACAAGATTGCTAGTATTGTTTCATCAACTTACATGTAACTTACAATGAATATAGTAAGGTTATGAAGGTATATTGCTGCACAAGTAAAGGAAGTTGACGATAGAAAAAGTTAAGTCATCACGTCTTATCTCAAGCTCACCAGGATATATTGTATTAACATAGAAATGGGGATTACCATGATTGTTAATTGACAATTCGTTGTCGATATATCTAAATGTCGAGTTGAAGACCACAGCATAAACTATGCTTGCAATAATTACAAAATATGGGTCTAATCAGGAATTCTTAACGACGAGGGCGATGAAGGAAATAAAAAATATGTTTTATGAAAGTTCCCATAAATATCCATAAGAATATGAAAAAAACTTCAAATGTATTGACTTCTGAAAACTGAATTTGGAGTTACAAATGTAGTGGACATAATCACTATCGTTCGTTCTTCTTTTCTTGCATAAGATTTGTCTATAACCAATAATAGATGGCTTACTGTAAGCAGCTGGCAGTTGACAGTACGCAGTTGGCCGTCGTATATGGAATATCCTAAGAATGTCTTAAAGGTCTATGAAATAAAATATTGGTTTGGTATTCCTCCTTAAAATTTATGCAATTTATTTTTTTATGCAAGGATTTGCCAAAGCCTGCTCTTAGAGTAGCAAAAAGTCGGGAAAGCAGGCAACCTATTTTCAAAAGAAATTATACTACAGTTCTAGACTTTTCTCCAATATACAAGTAGCTAGGGTAGGGGGTTCAATGAAATTGGTCATTACAGATATGTAGGCATCCGAGCACGTACTACAAGCCTGCACATTTACATTAGACAATTCAATATATATTTATTGTTTAAATAATGAAGGTGTGTTGAATTTTCCTGTGGGTTAAATTTGTGGGTTGAAAACCTTAAGTGGGTTAAGCAGGCAACCTATCAATAAAAAAAGAGTATATTAAAACTACAGCTGAAGACTATTCTACAAGACAAGTAGGAGGGGATGTGTTGATTGGTCCTGATACATACTACAAGCCTGCACATATATATAGACAATTCAATGTACATGTATTGTTTAAAAATAAAGATTTATTGAATTTTCATTCATACAGAAATTTTGTTTCCTATTGTAAAAGCCTATGGAATAGAATTCTTAATAATTTTTTAACTTTTTAATTGCAAAAAATGATTACCTGACAGTTCAGCAAGTGTGGTTGTCCTGTGTATGGATTCTGATCACGTGACACACCTGTGTTATCTACCTGTCACGTGCTTATACTTCCTTATGAAGAAGGAAATTAAAACAGCTTATCAAATGCAAATACTGCCTTTTAAAATGCCAGATTTATTTCATAAAATACAAATAGACTAAACTAATCAGATAATGGATTCATCATAACTGTCCTCAACCTTCACGAAAGCTAGGAGATATCAAATCTCATTTGACTACAGGTCTATCACAGAAAAAAATAAACCTTGGTTATAATTTTTGAATGAGAAAAATATGAATTTGATAGTTGAACACTTGTGCATTGCCTATCACAAGTTATTTCCAAATGAGCTTTTTAAAAAAAATGACTTCCTTCATTGAGTTTTAATGTTATCAATCTTTTATTATACAGTAGTTAAAACATTTCAATATATTCTACACCTTCTCAACCAATATAATCAGTCAAATTACACACTTACTTGTCACAAAGTGTCAAAGGGTGTTTACAACAGAAATAGTAAAAATAGCTTCAGAACTTCAGTAATTCTTTAGCCAAAAATGATACCACTTGGTTAAACTTGGGTAAGAAGGAAATATCAAATAAATTTAAGTTTGGATTGTGTGTTGTTTGGTCCTGATACGTACTACAAGCCTGCACATTTGTATAGACAATTCAATGTACATGTATTGTATAAAAATTAAGATTTATTGAATTTTTCATTTTTAAATAAATTTCAATTTTGTTTTCCTATTGTTAAAGCCTATGGAATAGAATTTTTAATAATATTTTAACTTTTCAATTGCAAAAAAATAATTACCTAACAGTTGAGCAATTGTGGTTGTCCTGTGTATGGACTCTGATCATGTGACACACCTGTTTTATCTACCTGATAGGTGTTTATACTTCTTTATGAAGATGGAGATTCTGATTTACTTATATTTTTGTATTTCAGTGACAGAGAGAAAGAGACAGTGTATGAGTCAAGTGGAATGGATGTCCTCTCTATCCAGCATGAAAGTATGATGATATACATCAACACTGTACTAGAACAACGTGTCTTCAAATTTTAGTATTTTCATTGAATTCATCTCCGACTGTGACACAGATATTTCCTTGGGAAAAAAGGAAAAATGTTTATACATGTACACGTAGTTTAGAACGAGGCCATAATCAATAATGAGGCAGTGAAAATCCCTGGTCAGCAAAATTCAATTACCACACAAACTCTCTGATAAGTTTTTTTTTCATCATTTGCATAATTCAGAGTTATGTTAGTAACATCTGACAATGCCTTATCACATTAATTTAGGTTGATTTCGTACTTTTTCCTGATAATTCTCGTTGAAAGTTTATAACTTTTTGACATACATAAACTATGAGTAATTTGATAAAAAATCATATTAATATTTGCGATTGTGTGTATGTTTTTCATACATTTTATGTAGGTAACTATCATGCAGATTTTACATTTGTATAAATTGACTTTATGTGCTAACCCAGACATTAAGGTTACATCTCTGACTAAAGTCAAAATAAAAAGACAAGCTGACAGTGTAAAAAGTATGTTCGGTAAAAGAAGAAAACATAGTGACAAAACTAGTGACACAACAGTGAATCAATCAAATGGTGAAAAAAAATTATAAAACTTCTGTCTCAAAAATATTCAGAATGGTTAAAATACCAACGTGTTCGAGTTACTAGTATTTTAAAGTAACGCCTACTGGACTTTTACGAGGAGCGCTGAATTTTACAGTTGACGATTACTTTTACACTTCAGCTAATGTACGGTAGCTCTTTTATGATATAAATATTTAGCTCAACGTTTAATTCAACGAAAATAACGGGTTATTTCAATGCACATATAAGTTGTCCTTAACGAAAACAACAACCAATTTACCCTCAACTCCCGGTTTTCACTTGCAAGTGCCCCTAACACCATACCTATGACCACTAGAAAGGTTTTCTTATGTAGTATCAATTCTGTACCTCCGTACGGTACAAGTTTAAATGTCCAAGTAAACTGTCAACTGTAGAAGTCAGTGCTTCTCGTAAAAGTCCAATAGGAAGAAGAAATCTCTGTCTGGGAATAAGTCCAAGTCCTCAAATTAAACTGTGTTAAAATCGAACAGTGATAGTAATCAGGAAGATCAATTAATAGAGGGTGACGAATCACTGCCACAATTAATGAAACGAAATAAGACCAGGAAAGGTCAGATCAAAAATCCAACCTCAAAATTCACAAAAAGTGAAAACCATGTAAAAGAAAAGAGGAGAGATGAGACACGAGCAGAGATACAGAAGGACAGATATGAATTGTGTACGAGGGACAACACTGGTTACAAAGAGCGCAGTTCTCTGATCTTGTACAGTGGGAAGCTGGATTACAATGAACCCAGCTCTTCGATTCCATATGGTGAGAAAATGGATCACCCGGAGGGTAGCTCGCCAATACCGTACGGTGGAGACACACAACAAGCAGCTCACAACCAATGATGATGGAAAAGGTAAACAGAAAAAACTAACACCTACCATTTAACAGAATGTTCTGTTTAAGTGAAATTTGATATGCTCATGTTAGGTTGAAATTTCCTTCAGAGAGGACTTTGACCCCAATCTAGATGCTGATGACTGCTACAGTGATTCAGATGATGAAGACTTACTAGATGTACTTACCCCATCTAGACAAGGTTAGAGCATGTATATTATTCTTTGTCCACATCATGTCTTGGTTAGAAATTCTTAGAACACTTCATTGATGTCTGAGAAAGTTCATTTGGTCAGTTTACCCAAAGTGACCAAATCAATGTAAAGTAAGAAAATTTAATTGCATAGAGGATCAATGAAGTGCTCTAACCAACTTTTACTATGATCCCAAAACTCTACTACTTTCTTGCTATTCTGTGACCCTTTTTTTCATAAAGAATCTTATGACTCAATGGCTAGAATTAAAACTTTTTCCCATTTAACTAATTATCTAAGCTGCGGAATCTTATTTTACTATTCCATAAACCATTATATCAATACTTCAGCATGCTCAGAATTAAACTAAAATAAATTATGTAGAAAAAAATATCTATATACATTGTAAAATAAATAATTACAGAATGGTTAAACTTTAGTCTAAGTTGTAAGATTTTTTGTGAAAAGGCCCAATGAATATTTCTCACCATGACTAATTGTTTAATTATTACTTTTCGTGCACATACTTTGGCATATTCAAAATTTAGCGCAATCAATGGGTATGGAGTTGTTGGTATAATCATGAATTAGCGCTACAAATGTTCTTACCGTCCTATATTCTATTGAATCCACACTTTTGAAAAGTTATGTCAATTGGCTGCCATCTTTTGGGGAAAACCCATACAATCCTTACAGTAGCCTTTATAGTCTTCTGGTTTGTCACCTGACAGGAAAATTTACGTGCATGTTGCATATTAATGATTGGCCCAAAAATGGGGCTACCCATATATCAACAGAAAACAATTAAACACAATAGATTTATTGGAGCACACTCAATTGTTTAGTACTAATAGCATATAGAAGAGGAATGTCTTTTCTTTCCCTTTAGACCTTTTGGTTGACCCTGCAAAGGGACATAACAGAACTATTGCAAAGTGTGGATTGGACTATTTATAAATGAATTCTTAGCGGTATTCATGAATAAGCACATCTTCGTCTGCGCCAACGCCGCTAAAATATGAAGGCCACTACCATATAATCACTATTAACTGCCTCGATGCTTAGAAAATTGCTAAAGGGGGTGGTTATTTTGGTAAATTCTCTAAACATTATTTTATGTCATATTTTAATTTTAAAAAATCTTTTTTTTTAAATGAATTTCAGAGAACCACTAAAATGATTGTCTAACTTTCCTTTAAGTTAAGATAATCCATTCAAATCATGCAAAATGATTTATTTTTCCACTGACAAATTAGAGAATAGACATGCAAGCAGAACAAATTTTCAGTAACTTTCACTTTTGAAATACATAATGATTAGGCTGTTTACGAATACTTTACATATGAGTTACCCAATTACCAAGTTTCATTTGCATTGTCTTCAAATTATGGCAGACTTGGATACGATTCTAGATGATTTTAATCACTGTACAGCCACAGTACATGGGACCCTTATTTCCAGACAATCAAAAGAGAGTTAAGACCTAACGGAGCACTTATAGGGGTAGGGGTTAATAGGGACTAAACAGTGTTTTAAGTACACATACAGTACTTGGTTACAATGTTTTGTTGCAGTCATGGTTTGTTTTTTAAAAATGACAAATTCTGAATGAAATTTTTCCAGGATTACAATAGTTGCTTGATAGTATTGCTGTGATATCACAGTTATATTGTGGAATCAATTTAAGGGTCCTCCACACACACACAGCTTATGTTCTCATATCATTGAGCATTACTTTTAACAACCATATCAACTTTTAAAAACTGTCCAGGGATTATACCCATGATACCGGTAATGTAATTTATACTGATTTTTAAAAATAATAATTTAACAGGTATAAAATTTTCCCAAGGCCTAGCACCTAGTACCTAGCACAACAAATTTTGTCGTATCCTTTCGTATACTTTTAAGCTCAGAATAACAATAAAAACTTAAATTTTATCGATCAACATAATTTTTTCAGAAATTTATTTTATTTCTAAAAAGTACATTAAATTCATTTTCTCTAAAATACATCTCGAGAAAAATCAACATTAATGAATTGGATTACATCAAAAAATTTAATTAAATTGCACTGATCTGATGTATAAAAAATGTTTTCAAAATCTTTAGTATCAAAGTTCCTTTTTGGAGTTATCTTTCCTGTTGCCCGGGACTCAGAAACTTTGGCAAGTCTCTGCATACGTCAACATACTATATTTACTCATAATTATACCCCACACAACTAGTTGCGTGAGGTATAATGTTTTTAACCCGTCCGTCAGAGTGTCAGTCAGTCCTTTTTTTGTCAGCGCAACTCCTCATAAACCGCTGCACAGAATTTCGTCAAACTTTGCAGATATTTAGGACACAATATGTAGATGTGCATATTACAAGGAAATTCCTATTACTTAATTTTTTCCGGGAATTTCTGCACTAAAAACTTGGGCATTTGGCCATACCTTTTACATAGAGATGAATAGTTTGTCAGCACAACTTCTCATAAACCGCTGCACAGAATTTCGTCAAACTTTGCAGGTATTTAGGACACAATGTGGAGATGTGCATATCACCAGGAAATTCCGATTCCTTTATTTTTTTTCGGGAATTTCGGCACTTTAAAATTCAGATTTTTGGGGATATCTTGAATATAGTGATGAACAGTTTGTCAGCGCAACTCCTCATAAACCGCTGCACGGAATTTCATCAAACTTTGCAGATATTTAGGACACAATTTGTAGATGTGCATATTACCGGGAAATTCCGATTCTTTCATTTTTTCCGAGATTTTCAGCACTTTTGAGCTTTGGGGGAGCGTGGGGTATGTGAGCTTCCTCACTTTTTCTTCCATTGGCTACTGAATTGGACAGATATAAAAAAGGAAAACTAGACACGCATACCATTTTATCAATATTTATAAACACAGAATGAGATGATGTATTTATTTATTGCAATTCACAATTTAGTGTGCAAAAATTTTAACTTTGATCATAACATACTCAGTTGATTAACTTGATGAACCTGAAATTATAAATAACCTGAAGGTCTCTCGTCATACCGGTACCCGTTATTTTCGAATTATTATGTACCATAATCCCCAGATGTCTGTTGTTCTATTATTTAAAAACAACACACACTCCGTGATCATATGCCATGTGTTCATTGTTTATAATAAATGCCATGTGTTCATTGTTTATGATAAGGGTGCCGCTCTCTGTGTACTGCATTCTTTTCTCTTTGGCAAAACCTATAGCGTTTGTAAGACTCTCTTACAAGAGGTACCAGGCCAAATCATCAATGTACAAAAAAACGGAAGTAAAAGTATTTTTTCTCTATATGTGTAACAAGTCACATGTTGTGGAGGACCTTTAAGGGTTAAATCGTGCCTCCACACATCCTTGGCTTATGTCCTCTGGCTTATATTACTGTTTATATACTGTGCTTGTACTTTTAACAAGCATATACGTACATATCCTACATATCTGATAGCCTTTAAAAACTGGTCTGGAATTGAAATATTATTATACCCCCCACTCTGAGGGAGAGGGGGCGGTGTGTACTGTTTTACCCAAGTGTGTCTATCTGTCTGTCTGTCCATTCTTTATTATGCTACAAACATTCGAATATCTGCTGTTTTGATTGATAAAAAAAATGGACACATATTTGGGTTCATACCATTATTTAATCATGCCATGTGTTCATTGTTTGGGTTCACACCTTTATTTATTCATGCCATGTGTTCATTGTTTATGATTCTGGTACTAGATACATAACTGAGAACAGGAATCTGGATATCTGTGTGTCTGATGGTGGAGCTAAAGCAATAGTGGTGGTCAATCAGGCCGGGAAACTGAGATTCAGGTACACTGGACATACTCCTGCTCCAAAGAACCAATCATATGATCCAATAGGAATCACCACAGACAGTCAGAGTCACATCCTTACAGCTGATTATATCAATCACTGTGTCCACATCATAGACCAGGATGGACAGTTCCTCCGTTACATTGACTGTGGACTGAGTTATCCCCATGGACTGTGTATGGATACAAATGACAATCTGTTTGTTGCTCAAAATGGAAACAAAAATGTGGAGAAAGTTAAATATCTGCAGTGAGATGTAAAATTGTGCCGTTTTTATATATAAGTTTTAACTAAAGCGTTATGATGTAAGAAAGATAGTCTTATAAATGATTTAAAATGAAGGTTTCTGTGATGGGAAAAGTATGCAGTAAATTGAGAGTGACATCCTAATCATAAACAATGAACACATGGCATGAATAAATAAAGGTGTGAACCCAAACAATGAACACATGGCATGATTAAATAATGGTATGAACCCAAATATGTGTCCATTTTTTTTATCAATCAAAACAGCAGATATTCGAATGTTTGTAGCATAATAAAGAATGGACAGACAGACAGATAGACACACTTGGGTAAAACAGTACACACCGCCCCCTCTCCCTCAGAGTGGGGGTATAATAATATTTCAATTCCAGACCAGTTTTTAAGGCTATCAGATATGTAGGATATGTACGTATATGCTTGTTAAAAGTACAAGCACAGTATATAAACAGTAATATAAGCCAGAGGACATAAGCCAAGGATGTGTGGAGAACGTTCAACCCTTAAAGGTCCTCCACAACATGTGACTTGTTACACATATAGAGAAAAAATACTTTTACTTCCGTTTTTTTTCTAATTTGTACATTGATGATTTGGCCTGGTACCTCTTGTAAGAGAGTCTTACAAACGCTATAGGTTTTGCCAAGAGAAAAGAATGCAGTACACAGAGAGCGGCACCCTTATCATAAACAATGAACACATGGCATTTATTATAAACAATGAACACATGGCATATGATCACGGAGTGTGTGTTGTTTTTAAATAATAGAACAACAGACATCTGGGGATTATGGTACATAATAATTCGTAAACAACGGGTACCGGTATGACGAGAGACCTTCAGGTTATTTATAATTTCAGGTTCATCAAGTTAATCAACTGAGTATGTTATGATCAAAGTTAAAATTTTTGCACACTAAATTGTGAATTGCAATAAATAAATACATCATCTCATTCTGTGTTTATAAATATTGATAAAATGGTATGCGTGTCTAGTTTTCCTTTTTTATATCTGTCCAATTCAGTAGCCAATGGAAGAAAAAGTGAGGAAGCTCACATACCCCACGCTCCCCCAAAGCTCAAAGTGCTGAAAATCCCGGAAAAATTGAAAGAATCGGAATTTCCCGGTAATATGCACATCTACAAATTGTGTCCTTAATATCTGCAAAGTTTGATGAAATTCTGTGCAGCGGTTTATGAGGAGTTGCGCTGACAAACTGTTCACCACTATATTCAAGATATCCCCAAAAATCTAAGTTGTAAAGTGCCGAAATTCCCGAAAAAATAAAGGAATCAGAATTTCCTGGTAAAATGCACATCTATACATCGTGTCCTAAATATCTGCAAAGTCTGACGAAATTCTGTGCAGCGGTTTATGAGGAGTTGCGCTGACAAACTATTCATCTCTATATAAAAGGTATGGCCAATACCTAAGTTTTTAATGCGGAAATTCCCGGAAAAAATTAAGTAATAGGAATTTCCTGGTAATATGCACATCTACATATTGTGTCCTAAATACCTTCAAAGTTTGACGAAATTCTGTTCAGTGTTTTATGAGGAGTTGCGCTGACAAAAAAAGGACTGACTGACACTCTGACGGACGGGTTAAAAACATTATACCTCACGCAACTAGTTGTGTGGGGTATAATTATGAGTAAATATAGTATGTTGACGTATGCAGAGACTTGCCAAAGTTTCTGAGTCCCGGGCAACAGGAAAGATAACTCCAAAAAGGAACTTTGATACTAAAGATTTTGAAAACATTTTTTATACATCAGCATGATCAGTGCAATTTAATTAAATTTTTTGATGTAATCCAATTCATTAATGTTGATTTTTCTCGAGATGTATTTTAGAGAAAATGAATTTAATGTACTTTTTAGAAATAAAATAAATTTCTGAAAAAATTATGTTGATCGATAAAATTTAAGTTTTTATTGTTATTCTGAGCTTAAAAGTATACGAAAGGATACGACAAAATTTGTTGTGCTAGGTACTAGGTGCTAGGCCTTGGGAAAATTTTATACCTGTTAAATTATTATTTTTAAAAATCAGTATAAATTACATTACCGGTATCATGGGTATAATCCCTGGACAGTTTTTAAAAGTTGATATGGTTGTTAAAAGTAATGCTCAATGATATGAGAACATAAGCTGTGTGTGTGTGGAGGACCCTTAAATTGATTCCACAATATAACTGTGATATCACAGCAATACTATCAAGCAACTATTGTATCCTGGAAAAATTTCATTCAGAATTTGTCATTTTGAAAACCATGCAACCATGACTCCAGCGAAACATTGTAACCAAGTACTGTATGTGTACTTAAAATACTGTTTAGTCCCTATTAACCCCTACCCCTATAAGTGCTCCGTTAGGTCTTAACTCTCTTTTGATTGTCTGGAAATAAGGGTCCCATGTACTGTGGCTGTACAGTGATTAAAATCATCTAGAATCGTATCCAAGTCTGCCATAATTTGAAGACAATGCAAATGAAACTTGGTAATTGGGTAACTCATATGTAAAGTATTCGTAAACAGCCTAATCATTATGTATTTCAAAAGTGAAAGTTACTGAAAATTTGTTCTGCTTGCATGTCTATTCTCTAATTTGTCAGTGGAAAAATAAATCATTTTGCATGATTTGAATGGATTATCTTAACTTAAAGGAAAGTTAGACAATCATTTTAGTGGTTCTCTGAATTCATTTAAAAAAAAAGATTTTTTAAAATTAAAATATGACATAAAATAATGTTTAGAGAATTTACCAAAATAACCACCCCCTTTTAGCAATTTTCTAAGCATCGAGGCAGTTAATAGTGATTATATGGTAGTGGCCTTCATATTTTAGCGGCGTTGGCGCAGACGAAGATGTGCTTATTCATGAATACCGCTAAGAATTCATTTATAAATAGTCCAATCCACACTTTGCAATAGTTCTGTTATGTCCCTTTGCAGGGTCAACCAAAAGGTCTAAAGGGAAAGAAAAGACATTCCTCTTCTATATGCTATTAGTACTAAACAATTGAGTGTGCTCCAATAAATCTATTGTGTTTAATTGTTTTCTGTTGATATATGGGTAGCCCCATTTTGGGCCAATCATTAATATGCAACATGCACGTAAATTTTCCTGTCAGGTGACAAACCAGAAGACTATAAAGGCTACTGTAAGGATTGTATGGGTTTTCCCCAAAAGATGGCAGCCAATTGACATAACTTTTCAAAAGTGTGGATTCAATAGAATATACGGTAAGAACATTTGTAGCGCTAATTCATGATTATACCAACAACTCCATACCCATTGATTGCGCTAAATTTTGAATATGCCAAAGTATGTGCACGAAAAGTAATAATTAAACAATTAGTCATGGTGAGAAATATTCATTGGGCCTTTTCACAAAAAATCTTACAACTTAGACTAAAGTTTAACCATTCTGTAATTATTTATTTTACAATGTATATAGATATTTTTTTCTACATAATTTATTTTAGTTTAATTCTGAGCATGCTGAAGTATTGATATAATGGTTTATGGAATAGTAAAATAAGATTTTCGCAGCTTAGATAATTAGTTAAAATGGGAAAAAGTTTTAATTCTAGCCATTGAGTCATAAGATTCTTTATGAAAAGGGTCACAGAATAGCAAGAAAGTAGTAGAGTTTTGGGATCATAGTAAAAGTTGGTTAGAGCACTTCATTGATCCTCTATGCAATTAAATTTTCTTACTTTACATTGATTTGGTCACTTTGGGTAAACTGACCAAATGAACTTTCTCAGACATCAATGAAGTGTTCTAAGAATTTCTAACCAAGACATGATGTGGACAAAGAATAATATACATGCTCTAACCTTGTCTAGATGGGGTAAGTACATCTAGTAAGTCTTCATCATCTGAATCACTGTAGCAGTCATCAGCATCTAGATTGGGGTCAAAGTCCTCTCTGAAGGAAATTTCAACCTAACATGAGCATATCAAATTTCACTTAAACAGAACATTCTGTTAAATGGTAGGTGTTAGTTTTCTGTTTACCTTTTCCCATCATCATTGGTTGTGAGCTGCTTGTTGTCTGTCTCCACCGTACGGTATTGGCGAGCTACCCTCCGGGTGATCCATTTTCTCACCATATGGAATCGAAGAGCTGGGTTCATTGTAATCCAGCTTCCCACCGTACAAGATCAGAGAACTGCGCTCTTTGTAACCAGTGTTGTCCCTCGTACACAATTCATATCTGTCCTTCTGTATCTCTGCTCGTGTCTCATCTCTCCTCTTTTCTTTTACATGGTTTTCACTTTTTGTGAATTTTGAGGTTGGATTTTTGATCTGACCTTTCCTGGTCTTATTTCGTTTCATTAATTGTGGCAGTGATTCGTCACCCTCTATTAATTGATCTTCCTGATTACTATCACTGTTCGATTTTAACACAGTTTAATTTGAGGACTTGGACTTATTCCCAGACAGAGATTTCTTCTTCCTATTGGACTTTTACGAGAAGCGCTGACTTCTACAGTTGACGGTTTACTTGGACATTTAATCTTGTATCATGTACGGAAGTACAGAATTGAAAGTGCATAAGAAAACCTTTACAGTGGTCATAGGTATGGTGTTAGGGGCACTTGCATGTGAAGACCGGGAGTTGGAGGTAAGGTGGTTATCGTATTCTTCAAGGACAACTTTTATGAGCATTGAAATAACCCGTTATTTTCGTTTAATTAACGTTGAGCTAAATATTTATATCATAAAAGAGCTACCGTACATTAGCTGAAGTGTAAAAGTAATCGTCAACTGTAAAATTCAGCGCTCCTCGTAAAAGTCCAGTAGGCGTTACTTTAAAATACTAGTAACTCGAACACGTTGGTATTTTAACCATTCTGAATATTTTTGAGACAGAAGTTTTATAATTTTTTTTCACCATTTGATTGATTCACTGTTGTGTCACTAGTTTTGTCACTATGTTTTTTCTTCTTTTACCGAACATACTTTTTACACTGTCAGCTTGTCTTTTTATTTTGACTTTAGTCAGAGATGTAACCTTAATGTCTGGGTTAGCACATAAAGTCAATTTATACAAATGTAAAATCTGCATGATAGTTACCTACATAAAATGTATGAAAAACATACACACAATCGCAAATATTAATATGATTTTTTATCAAATTACTCATAGTTTATGTATGTCAAAAAGTTATAAACTTTCAACGAGAATTATCAGGAAAAAGTACGAAATCAACCTAAATTAATGTGATAAGGCATTGTCAGATGTTACTAACATAACTCTGAATTATGCAAATGATGAAAAAAAAAACTTATCAGAGAGTTTGTGTGGTAATTGAATTTTGCTGACCAGGGATTTTCACTGCCTCATTATTGATTATGGCCTCGTTCTAAACTACGTGTACATGTATAAACATTTTTCCTTTTTTCCCAAGGAAATATCTGTGTCACAGTCGGAGATGAATTCAATGAAAATACTAAAATTTGAAGACACGTTGTTCTAGTACAGTGTTGATGTATATCATCATACTTTCATGCTGGATAGAGAGGACATCCATTCCACTTGACTCATACACTGTCTCTTTCTCTCTGTCACTGAAATACAAAAATATAAGTAAATCAGAATCTCCATCTTCATAAAGAAGTATAAACACCTATCAGGTAGATAAAACAGGTGTGTCACATGATCAGAGTCCATACACAGGACAACCACAATTGCTCAACTGTTAGGTAATTATTTTTTTGCAATTGAAAAGTTAAAATATTATTAAAAATTCTATTCCATAGGCTTTAACAATAGGAAACAAAATTGAAATTTATTTAAAAATGAAAAATTCAATAAATCTTAATTTTTATACAATACATGTACATTGAATTGTCTATACAAATGTGCAGGCTTGTAGTACGTATCAGGACCAAACAACACACAATCCAAACTTAAATTTATTTGATATTTCCTTCTTACCCAAGTTTAACCAAGTTGTATCATTTTTGGCTAAAGAATTATTGAAGTTTTTAAGCTATTTTTACTATTTCTGTTATAAACACCCTTTGACACTTTGTGACAAGTAAGTGTGTAATTTGACTGATTATATTGGTTAAGGAGAAGGTGTAGAATATATTGAATTGTTTTAACTATAATAAAAGATTGATAACATTAAAACTCAATGAAGGAAGTCATTTTTTTTAAAAAGCTCATTTGGAAATGTCTTGTGATAGGCAATGCACAAGTGTTTAACTATCAAATTCATATTTTTCTCATTCAAAAATTATAACCAAGGTTTATTTTTCTGTGATAGACCTGTATTCAAATGAGATTTAATATCTCCTAGCTTTCGTGAAGGTTGAGGACAGTTACGATAAATCCATTATCTGATTAATTTAGTCTATTTGTATTTTATGAAATAAATCTGGCATTTTAAAAGGCAGTATTTGCATTTAATAAGCTGTTTTAATCTCCTTCTTCATAAGGAAGTATAAGCACGTGACAGGTAGATAACACAGGTGTGTCACGTGATCAGAATCCATACACAGGACAACCACACTTGCTGAACTGTCAGGTAATCATTTTTTGCAATTGAAAAGATAAAAAAAATTATTAAAAATTCTATTCCATAGGCTTTAACAATAGGAAACAAAATTTCTGTATAAATGAAAATTCAATAAATCTTTATTTTTAACCAATGCATGTACATTGAGTTGTCTATATATATGTGCAGGCTTGTAGTATGTATCAGGACCAAACAACACATCCCCTCCCAATTGTCTTGTAGAATAGTCTTCAGCTGTAGTTTTAATATACTTTTTTTTTATTAATAGGTTGCCTGCTTAATCCACTTAAATTCAACCCACAAATTTAACCCACAGGAAAATTCAACACACCTTCATTTTTAAACAATAAATATATATTGAATTGTCTAATGTAAATGTGCAGGCTTGTAGTACGTGCTAGGACCGAACACCCCAACCCCCTACCCTAGCTACTTGTTTTGGAGAAAAGTCTAGAACTGTAGTATAATTTCTTTTGAAAATAGGTTGCCTGCTTTCCCCACTTTTTGCTACACTAAGAGCAGGCTTTGGCAAATCCTTGCATAAAAAATAAATTGCATAAATTTTAAGGAGGAATACCAAACCAATATTTTATTTCATAGACCTTTAAGACATTCTTAGGATATTCCATATACGACGGCCAACTGCTTACTGTCAACTGCTCACTGCCAACTGCCAGCTGCTTACAGCCATCTATTATTGGTTATAGACAAATCTTATGCAAGAAAAGAAGAACGAACGATAGTGATTATGTCCACTACATGTGTAACTCCAAATTCAGTTCTCAAAAGTTAATACATTTGAAGTTTTTTTTTTCATATTCTTATGGATATTTATGGGAACTTTCATAAAACATATTTTTTATTTCCTTCATCGCCCTCGTCGTTTAGAATTCCTGAATAGACCCATATTTTGTAATTATTGCGATATCATTGCAAGCATAGTTTATGCTGTGGTCTTCAACTCGACATTTAGATATATCGACAACGAATTGTCAATTAACAATCATGGTAATCCCCATTCCTATGTTAATGCAATATATCCCGGTGAGCTTGAGATAAAACGTGATGACTTTATCTTTTCTATCGTCAACTTCCCGGCCTTACTTATTTTGTAAGTTCTATGGTCGATACAATGACCTTGTCGGCAAATAAAATTTATCATTGAGTCAAATGCTGACTGACGTTTTTCATACTACGTGTTAGTCCATTATTTATACACTGAATTGACAAGAATTTTCCCGTTATTTCTCAATCACGACAAGAGCAACACGGAGGGTGTGACCGGTGGGCTGGGGATGCTGAACCCCTCCATGCCAATCATCCCACCTCTAATGTTTTGTAGGTCCGTGTTTGCTTTGCTTCTATTTAATACAGTGTATTTAGTGATTTTATGGACTTTGATATTGAATACTGTTCGTTATCTCCATATCCTTCATTCACGCATGTATTTTAAAGATAAAAAGATAATAAAACTCATAATATCACCTATAACTAGAAACCGTTGCCAGTAAACAGTTGACGGTCGTATATGAAACTCCATACATTCCTGTTAGGTAGTGTGTTCAGCAATAAAAGGCCAATATCAACTCTTCGTTATCTCATACGAATTTTTCCTATTTTTCATAGGAAAAAGTATAATTTGCATATAAGATTCTTTAGGGTAAACAAATTTGTCTTAATAAATGCATAATATGAATGTTTGATAATATGTTAATAAAGGTTGGATAGACATTTTTATTTTTGAAAAAAAAAATGAAAATAAAGCACATATATAATTTGCTAATATTTTCTAAACCTATGGTTAAAATTTCATAAAACTAGTCCTAACTTCAAAGAATATGTCAGTCAATCATATGTATTTTAAAAAGATATGCCAGTATAATAGTGAAATTAAAAAAAAAAAATATTTTTTATCAATTTGGCTTATCCCAATCGAAATAAAACAGATCCCAACCAGAATTTCGTAATAGATAATATTTCTAAAATTGTAATTGTTTGTTTAGGTGAAATATAAGGTTAAAAGGAAATTAAACTTGATAATAAAATACATTTTAGTGTTAGATTTGAAAATATTACAGTTAATTATCAGTTAATTCATTTGTGCTATTTTTTTATCGGTATCAATTTATTTTTGGTCGCAATTAGTCTGAACATTAAAATAAAAATTCAGCATAGTAAAATAAAGTGTATTTATTTTTTAAAAGCGGCTATTCTTATTATTTATAAATATAACCAAATTTGGGTAATTCCGAGTTTTAAAAAATCTAATTACATTTTTAAATACTGGTAACTGATTTTTAAAAATGGTGTTTTAAATGATGGATAGATAGACGTAGTAATAATGTGTTTTGTGTCTTCCCCTGAGTACCATATGTTTAAACCCTTAGATCTTGCCCTTCGTCCTTGACCCGCTTTTAAAAAAAACTTTTACTTGAATTTTTATGATAACTTTTAAAAGTAAGTACTTCCATATTTCAAATATATATATTCATTGATTCAAATCTTTAGTTAAGATGACATTTTTTATCTTTTGCCTTGGAGTTAGACGTACCTCATTTGACAAACAAACTCCAAGATCCACCACTAGGGGGCATCAGTGTTTCACAAACACATCTTTTTTAGGCTTGTCCCTCTCCGTTGAAAAGATTAACTGCTCTTTGGCTGATGTGTTAACAATCTACCTTTTTACCTATTTGCCGTAAGAAAACAGTGTTTACTGGTGTGAAAAAACGCATGTTTCCCTTTAACCCAATACATAAATATGTTATCAATGTTGAGGTGTTTTTTTTTTTTGCTTTAGTTTCGAAATCTAATGATGGACCCCTGTGCCCAGGATATGCCCTCTGCTCCAGTCAAACAGCTGCGTGATGAACCAGAGAGTGTTACCACCATAAACACTGGATATAGTCGTCGACTCCACAATGTGGCCTGTCTTGGTGATGTAGAGATCTGGACAAGAGGAGATGACAACACCATGAAACTCTTCAGCATCAATCAGGGATCACTACTCAAGTCAGTCACAACCAAGTCAGGGAACGTATCATGGGACATAGCAGTGACAAAAAGTGGAGATCTAGTTTATACTGATTACAGTGATAGAACTATGAACATTGTGAAGAATGAGAAGATAGAGGAGGTGATCAGACTACAGAACTGGAAACCTCAAGGTGTCTGTAGTACCTCCTCTGGTGACCTCCTGGTTATCATGGTCAGTGATGATAAAAAACAATCAAAAGTTGTCCGTTACTCTGGCTCCACAGAGAAACAAACCATTCAGTTTGATGATCAAGGTAATCTTCTCTACTCAGCTGGTAGTCGTAGCAGACACAAAACTGAGAACAGGAACCTGGATATCTGTGTGACTGACAATGAAGCTAAAGCAATAGTGGTGGTCAATCGAGCCGGGAATCTGAGATTCAGGTACACTGGACATACTCCTGCTCCAAAGAACAAATTATTCGGTCCAAGAGGAATTACCACAGACAGTCAGAGTCACATCCTTACAGCTGATTATTACAATGACTGTGTCCACATCATAGACCAGGATGGACAGTTTCTCCGTTACATAGAATGTGGACTGAGTAATCCATTGGGACCGTGTACAGATAAAAATGACAATTTGTTTGTACCTGAATTGTGGAGCAGACAAGTGAAGAAAATAAAATATCTGAAATAATATACAGCACTAGTACTGTCTTGTACTCTATAAAATAAAAGATGTATGTTTTATAACCGATGTAACAATTTGCTGCATAATAAAATTTTGCAATAATACATATATGAATTGGGAAATAAAAGACACGCGTGGTTATAACTTTAATGTGAAATAAGTTTATTTTTCCTTATGTGTTTTCTAGTTTACCTATCTAACGTTTACATTCGTCTTTAATGAAAATGTAACCAAAAATCCATTTGATTTAGCCTCATTATTCATTATAGTGATTAAAGCTCTAATGACGATACCCCCCCCCCCCCCCCTAAAAAAAAAAAAGTTGAAATTGAAATTTCTCATTAACGTGAATGTTTTCCTGCCTTGGTTTTCTTTGATTGGAGTTCGTGTGTTGAGACCAGCTTGGGCATTTCGAAGCTATCAAGTCCACGTAATCATACAGATGTTTACTGAGAAAAAGATGACCTTTCCGGAGAGCAGTCAAATGGGTAAATAAAATGTGACTTTTTGCGAGAAAGTCTTGACAAAAACGGGCTACACTGGGCCATAAACCAAAGAAGGCAAATGGTGCGCATGCACCAGTGAGAACAACAACGTATAGATGACCAACTATAAAACCCAAATCGCGCTTTTGGTTTCTTTAGTTTTATGGTTAATATAATGATTATAAAAGCCTCTTATAGTCACAGCTGTTGTTTGGTAGTATGTTGACGATTAAACAGATGGCAGGGTGTATAACCCGATCCTGCGTGGCTCTTTTACGCGTCAACGTCATATTAAGGGTTGATAAGAACTTATTCAAGGCTCTCTCTGGTGACAGTTTAGACGTTCTAAAGGGGAATATTTATGAGAGACTGCACAGCAACCCGTTGTTGCCTCTGTCTTTACGTAGGCAACGTACGTAAAAAGCCAGACCCTACGGAAATTCCGTCAACTGTTAAAAGACTGCATGAAATGTAAATCATCTATAAATACTGAAAAAATATGTATACCTCTGGTGCATCAAATGGTATAAAAAACGTCATCAAGTCGAGCGTCTTTTGACTTTTAGCACTTTGCCTACGTGACGTCATACATACATTTCACAGTTGATAATTTCCTTCCAATCTATTTTTTTTATTTTGGTCCCAGTGCTTGGGGCATTTTACATATTTTCTGAATAGATAAAGATTTTTAACAGGAACTTTTTTCCAAAGCATAAGACGCTACGTCCTGGGATAGAGGTTTAAAGCGTCAGTTTTCGTTTCAGCTTTTCCCCTCATCACTTTTAGAGAGCTGTTTGCTGTCTGTGTTGATGTTGAGCTCTCCATTGTCCATACAGTTTGACTAATGTTCCAGTGACTGTGGATTCAGGGAATTATAGGGATTAATTATTTTCCATTAGACATGGGGACATCTCTAATTCTGATTTTTGATGAGGTACATAATCATTTATCATAAAGATGAAGTGTCAGACTAGAAACCCTTGATTATTTGCTTAGATATTTTACCACAAGGTATTGGCCAATTTCTGTGTTTGAGTTTGTGCACGTATATTAGAAAAATTATATCAATCATTATGGTCACCACGGATCAGAAAGATATGGAGATAACGAATAGTATTCAATATCAAGGTCCAGAAAACGATACAAAATAGGAGCAGAGCAAACACAGACCTCCGAAACATCAGAGGTGGGATCAGGTGCCATGGAGGAGTGAGCATCCCCTGCCAACCGATAACATACGCCGTGTGCTACTTGTCATGATCGGGAAATAACGGGAAAATCCGTCGTCAGTTAACTGTATAAATTATGGACTAACAATTAGTATGAAAAACGTCAATCAAATTTCGACTCAGTGTTAAATTGTATTTGCTGTCAAGGCCATTGTATTGACCAAGTGTTATCTTTTCAAGCATAAGATTTTGCACAAATTCTGCTTCATATGAATACAAAAATAAGTCTGCTGATAACGGAGCGCAATTGGTACCCACGAGAATTCCACTAGATTGTTGGAAGACCTCGTCTTCAAACAGCTCATCGATATTGTCAATCAGAAACTTGAGCATATTTTTGATTTCAACTTCAGGGTACTTAGGCAGAATGTTTTAACAAAATAATTTTGCAATTGACCAATGATCAGGTAAGTAAATTTACAATTTAAATTCTAATTGAAAAAGTAGCTGTCAATGATCCAAAAAGCCTGGACTTTAATTTATCATAGTGAATGGTTGAGTGGTTAGATCCTCTGCCCTTGAGTTGCAGGGTTAGGAGCTAATTCATATGTTGTGGGTTTAAATTCACTGTGAGAGGTAAAGACCAGTTCTTTGGATGTAACCGTATAAACCGAGGTCCCATGTCGCAATAGGTCCTGGCATGATAAAGATCCCTCCCTGCACAATGGCCTTGAGTGCTGAGTATAGCAATAAATTTGCAGCTCTCCACCTGCAAGTGGTGGTGTCCCCATATGAGTGATATATTCTCCAGAGGGACCTTAAAGAATAAATATCACTATGTTTTCATCCCTCCTTCTCAACAGGTAGACTAAAACAGGACTTTGACACGACCTCTTTTAAAAGAAAAAAAACATATGAAGCAGAACTGATTTTTATTTTATTTTCATTTTCCCTGACACATAAAAGCTATATAACAATTAAAACATAATTAAAATTTTGTATAAACAAAATCAAAACTATTTACATAATTATTAACAAATATATTAAACTTTTGCCTTACCTTTTAACAATAAACCATTGTTCATTATCATAGCTCCCTACATCATTGCCAACCTTAATGCCTGTAAAGCATGACTAAAATCACAACCAACTTTTTCTTGTCATAATTTCATTAAAAAATGCAAATTTCAAACATTAAATTTCAAACTAATTGTAATTCATTGTATGTTTTACAACGTAATTTGACTGCACCAAATTCTACACACCAAACATCCTTACTGAAATATATTAAATGATAATAATGATAAACAAGAAAATTTTCTGACATGGGATTTCCTCCCTATTACATGTATGATAATACTTGGATTAAGCTTCTAGCTGCACAAACCAAATAAACACATTTAAACAATATACACATAACCACCAGGTAGCATTTACATTCACAAACCTTAAGATACGATATACAATTATGTCTATCCTAGTTAAAAGGGGGGAGGGTTCCCATCTCTAATGAATATTATGAGAAATAAAATAATTTCTTTTCAAAATATATAGATTAATGATATGGGACCAAAATTTGATTTGAAACATTGATGTAGACAGAAATTTTATAAATGAATTGTTGATTGATCTCATGGCAGAGTTATCTCCCTTAAAATGACAGCAAAAAAAAACAAAAAAAAAAACAACACAAATGTATTGAGCAGATGAAAGTCAATTAATTTCTTTCCCATAAAATTTATAAGCATTATAAGACAGTTCATTAAAGACAACACAGGAAATATTGCTATACTGTTTGAATTTTTACAATTGCTTTTAAATCTGAAACAATTATTTATATGCAGCAGTTCCTTCCTCTCATTCTCTATTAAGTACACTGGCAAGTTAAGTATGCATTTTATAAAAATGAAGTCAAAAATGAATTAATAATATTATTTCAACTTACACCTGTTACAGCCAGGTTTAAGGATAAAATTGTATATGTGTATTTGTCAGCAATATATTATTGAAAACAATTAATTATAATGGTTGTAAATTATCCATGAAACTACAGGCCTGCATTGAGGTAATAAGATCAAACTCCATTGTTTTGTTATTTCCAGTGGTACATGTAAGATAGACTAGGTTTCATTTTAATCATAAATGGTCCTTTAGCTTCCACTAATTGACGAATCAAAGAAATCAATCTGTATACATCTTCACAGACAGTATGCCCCAAATTATCAAAGCCTGATGTTACAGAGCCAACCTTAGTGGTGTGTTGTTGAACAACTCATGCCCTTGTATACCGTACAGTAGTCATCATAAAGTGGTCATTAGGAATCCCCTGAGCTGATACTTGAAGAGCACCTGCATATCGTGTACCCTAATCAACATAAGATGACAAGCTTTTTCATGGATCACACTTTCATACATTTTGGTTTCCGTAATGGTGATTGATGAGGTTTTCCATAAGATCCTTCTCTGCTTCATTCTCTCGTTATTATAATATGATATTCTGAAGTCTGCGCCTTTCATCCTGTCCTGTAAATCGTAATCATAATATGATATTCTGAAGTCCGTGCCTTTCATCCTGTCCTGTAAATCGTTATCATAATATGATATTCTGAAGTCCACTCCTTTCACAGATAACATTCATCCTGTCCTTTAGATGGCAATCATAATATGATATTCTGGAGTCCACTCCTATGACAGATGACGTTCATCCTGTCCTTTAGATCTTAATCACAATATGATATTCTGGAGTCCGCTCCGTTGACAGATGACGTTCATCCTGTCCTTTAGGTTTTCCTCGTACCTCTGTACGTCCTCGGGTGATATCCTTTTAGCGCTCTCCAGTATCGACTTGTGGACCTCCGCTCTCTCTTTCTTTGTTATGTACACACCTTTCTCAAACCGCTGCCACGCCTTCTTACGAGTGTACTTCTTCAACTTTATTAAGGCATACACTATGGCCTGCAATTATTCAAGCGTCATTTTTACCTGTTCTTATTATTTCAATGAAGCTAGTTTTAAAAGAAATTCAGATTGTCCTGTATTTCCCTTTTTGATTTTGAGCTTAATAACCATCTTTACACCAAGTTCTATATATGAGTGTGTAAATATATACTTGTCTATTTCCCAATTGAAAATTTCATTATGATTTAAGTTTTAGTGGAAAGACTAAACAATACTTATACTTATGCAACATAAACTTCTTACGTACATCAATAATACAATAGTTTGAATCCCTTACTGACAATGTAAAGTTATATCAGACATAACACCCACCTCTGGGATCCAAACATCCAGGACGTAGTTCCAGTCAGGGAACTCATCACTAGCAAACTTTGTCTCCTGTTTGTACCAAGCCAACATGGTGTTCAAAATGTCATCATGCTAAAAAGAAAACAAGATAGGAATAAATACATTTCTTTAAAGTATATGTATATCATATTTTGGTCAACATGGAAGCATAGTAAGAAAATGTTTTCT